GAAAGATAAGATGTAAAAAATGTGATTACAACCAGGGGACAGAGGCTTCTTGTTTTACTTTTAGAAATGCTTTCTCTGTCCCTTCATTAATGCAACAGTCAGACAAATGACCTGTTCGGTATTAGTGACTGATCTTGACCTTACAACTCAGGAAAAATGAATTACATGGAAAAATCATTCACGCTGAATGCCAAAGCTCTGCAAACAATCCATCTCTGAAGCACGGCAAAGCTTAAGTAAAAAGATAAAATTTGAAGTACACATTGCAAGTACCTTACCATTACTGGCACTAAGATGAGCACCGCAGTTCCTGTCCTATCTCCCCAAATTTTTACTATACTGCTCAGGGAAAGAAACACTGATCTAGAGAGACTGAGGCAAAATTCTGGTCTTGTAGATGTTCTTCCAGGCAGCATTAATCACCATGATATTTTCATGCTTTCAGGAAGATACGTACTTGCAATATATTTGCTGGGCCAAGAAATTTCAGATGGGAATTTTAGTACATATTTAAATCAGCATTTCTGACACATGAATGCTGACAGTCTAAAATTAAAAAAATAGCAAAATACTTACAATTTTAAGATTTAATGAGAAGATTAAATCCTGGGCTGCATCAGTAGAAACACGGCCAGCAGGTCAAGGGAGATGATTCTCCCCCTCTACTCTGCTCTCGTGAGACTCCACCTGGAGTACTGCGTCCAGCTCTGGAGCCCCCAACATAGGAAAGACATGGCCCTGCTGGAGCAGGTCCCGAGAAGGGCCACAAAGATGATCAGAGGGCTGGAGCACCTCTCCTATGAGGAGAGGCTGAAAGAGTTGGGGCTGTTCAGCCTGGAGAAGAGAAGGCTCCAGGGAGATCTTATTGTGGCCTTCCAGTACCTAAAGGGGCCTACAGGAGAGCTGGGGAAGGACTTTTTACTAGGGCATGTAGTGATAGGACGAGGGGGAATGGCTTTAAAGTGGAAGAGGAGAGATTTAGATAAGGTATCAGGAAGAAGTTTTTCACTGCACGGGTAGTGAGGCACTGGAACAGGTTGCCCAGAAAAGTTGTGGAAACTCCACCCCTGAGGTGTTTAAGGCCAGGCTGGACGGGGCTTTGAGGAACTCGGTCTCGTGGGAGGTATCCCTGCCTATTAAAGGGTGTTGGAGCTAGCTTAAGGTCCCTTCCAACCTAAACCATTTTATGATTCTATAAAGAAACTGAATACTGATTTTCAGATTTAAAAGATCTTTAGGTTTTCCCGTGAATTGCAGTTTTTGAAATGTTGCTGATATGATGCTATTGAAACTTAAAACCTGTCAAAACTAGTCTTTGCTAGAATATTCAGTAACTAGCTATTTAGATTTTTAAAACATAAACCCAATTAAATATCTGTCAAAGAGCTAATTACATAATACATATTAATTATCTAATTATACAATTTTTACTAAGCTATGCAATTAGAACCTGATTATATAATTTCATATTTTATGGTTGTTATGTCATTAGGAAAAAGGTAAGTTCTCAACAAAACCCAACACAATGTACATTGGATAAGAATAAGACAGTGACATTTGTGAGTCACATCCACTGTTTCCAGATGGAAAAGTGCCTAGATGTGCTGTGAAACAAATGGACACGCTATTAACAGCAACTGGATATTAAAATTTACAATTTCTTCACATCATTTTACGTCACTTGATATTTCTGGATGCGGTGATTATATATTTAAAGACATACTGATCTGATCTTAGAGTGGACATGAAATTTATTTGAGAAAGATAACTGCATTATAAAGGATTCTACATTGAATAATTGTTTTGTTAGAACACTATGAAGCACTGTGATATTATTTTAAAGAAAAGGAGACTCATTTGCTAACTACAGAATTTTTCAATGTTCTAAACAATTTAAATTGATGGAAAGATGGGGGGGCTTGTGTCACTGTCGTGTTCCAATTTCTATTGATAACATCTTAGGAGCAGATTTTTGAAAGAGTACTTTCCCTGATATTTCACAGCAGCAATTCTACACATATAGGATGGTGGAGAAAAATAGCAATTAAATACAGTTTTTAAATTACGTACTTGTTCAAATTTTGAGATGAGTCTTGAGAATCATAGAATCGTTATGTTTGGTAGAGACCTTTAAGATCATCAAGTCCAACCATTAACCTAGCACTGCTAAGTCCACCACTAGACCATGTCCCTAAGCACCATGTCTACACGTCCAATCAAACCTCCTGTGGCTCAACTTGAGGCCATTTCCTCTTGTCCTATCGCCTGTTACTTGGGAAAAGAGACCGGCCCCCACCTCACTACAACCTCCTTTCAGGTAGTGGTAGAGAGCGATGAGGTTCCCACTCAGCCTCCTTTTCTCCAAGCTAAACAACCCCAGTTCCCTCAGCTGTTCCTCCTAAGACTTGTGCTCTAGACCATTCACCAGCTTTTAGGTTCCATGTAGCCACATATGGAACATCATAGTAACTCTGATTGCCTTAAGACTTGAGTCTACTCACAGGACTGAGCTTAAAGATGTGATTCTCCAGAAAGTTGTCCATTTTTAAAATGCCACCCTACCATCATCAGCAAAATGACTCAGTAAAAGGACATTTTTGGGGGTAGGAGCACCCCACAAAAAAAATTGTGAGTCAGTATTATGGAGAAGGGAAGGCAGGAAGCCCCCATTCTTCTACCAGGTGTTTCTCTGAGGACACCAGATACAATAGTTTCACTTTGTCCAAGGATGTGATCAAGGGACTGAACACTACAGAACACTAAGTGTGAGAGTCAAAAAAGGGGGTTTTGTGCCTAAGTCTAAAACTGTCATTCCCAGCCTGATCCACTGGCAGCCACTTACCCCTGAAGACACCAAAACCCTAAATGCCACCCTGGAAGCATCTTACCTGACATCTACCCTTGCATGTGCTCAGACTTGCCCCAGACTGAGCAGAGAGCTACCTAAATCATACACGCTACACTGCATGACATTTTACATCCTTCTGTGAGAGACTATGTCATACAAACTAAGCCGGTGAGGCCCCTTGCAAAATGCAGCCATGTCTGCTTTTTGAGGCACTGCTGAAGGAAACAGTAACAGGGAGTCACTATGTATCATGTTGACATTCACATGAAATCATCAATATGGCTATCAGGCAGCAGCGAAAAAATCATACAGCCACAGAGAAAAGGGAGAAAAAAAAAAAGTAATTAAGTGTAGGTGTTCAGAAAGTTCAGGTTCATGCACAGATGGAGATAGCTCTCTTTAGATCTGAGGCAGGTAACTTTTCAGGTGTAGGGTGTTGAAATACACCCCAGATCTTAGTATTTCATTTTGGCTAGTTCCTATGGCTCTGTGTGACAAAGACAAGAACCTTCCATGTCACACCAAAATAAGCTAACAATTAAAATCAGCAAGTTCCAGTCTCAGGGACAGGATATCATATGTGCAACAGAAATTCAGTTTCATCCAATAATTACGACTTGGGGTGGTGGGGGCTAGGGTGTCACACATCTCAGAGTAAGAGTGTAAGTACAGTAGTAACCAGAATAAGTTTGGGACCCACTAAACAAACTGAAATGTGATTCTTTCAGAGACTCTGAATTATGAATCTGAATTATTAGGCCAATATGATAAGAGAGTTCTCACAACTTCTCACTTTCTTCTACACTGTGATGTTAGGTGGTTTCAGCAGTCTATATTATCAAGTATCTGTCCAATCTGTGACACTCCAAAGTGATTTTGTTCAGCTGAAGATGTGGCTGGGCAACTACGTGAGGACTGTAAAGCAAGTGTAGAAGCTATTGTAAGTACTGTATCATCAGTCCTGCTTGCATTTACATCTTTGGAAACTTAAAGGTAGAAAGACTTATCTAAAGTCACACATGCGTGTTTACAGGACTTGATTACAGATCACTGAAAACTAACAAACTCCTTCCACCATCATCTGTAACTGAGCACCACTGGGAGAAATGAGTAGTATTTCTCTTTTTAAAATAAATTATGAGATTCTATTGTCTTCTTCACTTTTGCATCCCTGATCAAATCAGTAAGTTTACACATTGCAATTGCATTTCAGTACTTCCAGAAGAAAGAGACAACGTAATGCACAGGAAAATAATCTCTCACCTTCTAGATCTTCCTTTTCAAAATGTGTTTTGAGAATGGAGCGTGTTCCACCTCTATCCACAACAGCCTCTTCATCATTTCTCTGCAAAACAGAAAAAAGGACAGGTAAGCTGCTTCTCATTTAGAAACTATTGGCAAGATTGTATAGTACTATGAAATAAAGATGCTTTTTGTATATATTTACTTACTCTTCCTACTCAGGAAAAAAAAAGTTTTTAAGAATTTAATTTTCTTTATTAAAATCTATTCCTTATGCATTAGTTTCTATTGAGGTATGATTACAGCTAACTTTGACATAAAGAAGTTCTCCTGTTAAAACCTGCAAGATAATGAGTAAACACTGGTTAATGAGAACTAATAGAAATGTGAGTTAATAGGACAATGAAAGAGATGAGAGAAGAAATGCCTGGTTGAGGCAGCTTTGTTCTTGTACTCTTGAAGAAAGGGATTGCACGTGCATTTTTATCTTTAGACCAGGATCCTGAGCTATGTGCAGAATTCACAAGTTATTAGCACTAACACTCCTTATACTTTGGCCAAGGTAGAGAATGATACTCAGTGTCAATATGCTAAGAAAGAAAACTTTAATACCATGAAAACAACTGGCTTTACTTACTGGTGAGCTGCAAAGCTTTTCCTTTTGCTTACAAACACCAAACTGTAATTACAGTAAAGGCAGATAGCACACACTAATAGCAGAAAACAGAAAAGCTATTCTTCCTCAGGAACATATATTTCATGTTTTTACCCCATGCATCAGTACAGGTTGGGGGCTGACCTCCTGGAGAGCAGCTCTGTGGAAAGGGCCCTGGGAGTCCTGGGGAACAACAGGATG